GATAGATAGATAGATAGATAGATAGATAGATAGATAGATAGATAGATGGATGGATGGATGGATGGATGGATGGATGGATGGATGGATGGATGGATAGATAGATAGACTGATAGATGGATAGATAGACTGATAGATGGATAGACAGACTGATAGATGGATAGATAGATGGATGGATGGATAGACTGATAGATGGATAGATAGATAATATAATGTAGCACTTTGAGATTGTAAAATGTAAAGTGCAGTACAAATTGAATAAATTATTATGATAAAGCTATTTAATGTACTGTACAGCCCCCTGCAGGGCTAAAGCCCAGAGCATGGAGGGAGCACATGTACAAACAGCTCTCAAGTTTTCCAGCTGCAGCTTGAATTCTGTGAGAATCTGTCAGGTTGTCCAAGAAAAGCCCCGATGCTGCCTTTAAAGACGATGAGGAGAAAAAGAACAAGCAGCCATTTCTGATAATGTTACACTCAAGAGTTTGGAGATTTTAGGTTTGTTCAGCTGAGGCTCATGCAATAAATACAACATTTATTACCTACAGTACTGAAAAAGAGCATTGTTATTGTGTTAGAGGAGAACCTCACAAAGAATCATATGAGTGACATTTTTTACTCCAGTATGTGTGTTTGATTAGATGTGTCAAGGTGCTGTCCTGTCTCCACCCACTAACTGCCAGTGTGGTGGGAAGCTGCACCACTTGCACACAAATGGGTTATGAAGATTGGAAAAGTGCTTCTTTGTATATTTTATTAAAACGAGAGAGGCTACCTTTCAGTGTTGTAATTTATCAAACTTTTTGTTTGACACATGGCCTCTAAGACAATGTTTACATTTCAAATTAGATTAATAAGACTATACAGTCCAACAAAGTTAACTTAAGGCAGATCCTCTGGACAGGAAGACTATACAATATGACTTTTTTTTTTTTTTTTTTTATGTTGAAATACCATTTGATACATCATATCTTGTGCCTGATACTTTAGACACTCCTCACTAGCACAGGTGATTTGGGTTTTTTTTTCTGTCTGGAAGGGTTATTGCTTGTTTAAAATAAAAAGAAAATTACTATAGTATTTGGCATTTGTTTATTTTACCTTTTGTACCCAACTGGGACTCTAATACATACCGACATAGCAAAATTTAAGGTGTACCGTTACACCCCTGTTAAACACATATACAGTCCTGCTTAGAGAGGAAATGAAACTTGGTGCGTTTGGTAACCCTGTACAATTTTTCAGTTTTGTATAAATCCATTTAACCCAAACAGTAAGAAAAGACAGTATGCAGACCCTGGTAAGATTGTTGTATTTGTATAATTGCTGTAGTGCTAAACTGTTGCCGACCATTAATATGAAGGTCACAATAAGCAGACTATATTTTTGTGATAATTCTGTTCAGGCAACAACAGAAACTGCTGAAAGCCCTGGAGAACCTAGAAGCTGGACCAGGTCACAACATTCCTCACAGCGTTCAAACTGACTCCAGCAAGCAGCCAGTGAGTCAGCAGCACTTCAGCATGATTAATCCTGATCCCCATTCTGCTGGGTGTCACTCCAGTCAATGGTTTTGCATTTCTCTTGCAGAGAGAGCTGTCGTCGGCAGAGGTCACCCCTGCCTTGTATGTTACCATGGAGATCCTGTCAAACTGGGGGAACGCGCTGCAGGTTGGGCTGACTGAGTTGCAGTTCTGTCACAGAAACAAAAAGTTATTCGTCTCACCTCATGACCTGGACATCAGGAATGTTGACTATCCAGGAAATCTGGGGGCGCTTGTCAACGGGAAGGTGAAGGTGGGTTTCTCTGAAATCTCCCCGTTAGAATGTCTAGAACATTTCTAAATAAAATATATAAATGTGGTTGAAGGATTATGAAATCCTTTATTTCTTTCCTTCTTCTTGGATCGACAGACCACTAAAGAGCGTCACATGTGGACGTGCCCCTTCCACCCTCCCATCCAGCTCTACTTTATCATCAGGAACACAGAACACGCTCCAGATTTTGGAGTATCTTGTATTAAAATCTGGAACTACAACCGAAGCCTGACCGTATGTGTACTTTTATTTAACATATCCTTAAAAAATGTGAGAACCCTAATTACGCAAGCCCAGTTTGTTCTACACCTCAGAGGTTGTTCACTGTGAGCCCGGCAGATGGATTCCACTGCTTGTGCGCTGCCGTTAGATTAGGGGAAACTGATTTGTTGAGAGTACGTCAGGGTAGTGGTTCTCTTTAAACTGTGGCTGCTTGAGCTGCCAGTCAGTTGATCCGAATATGGAGCAAAGAGAGATTACATTCAGAGGATTAGTGCAGCCTGAGCTTCTGTCTCAGCATCACTGCTGTTCATAGAGAGGCACAAAAGCCTCATCACATTTTGTTGTAGTTTACAACCATCAGAAATTATTTAATGTCTGTTTTTGTGAATGGGGACTTGATCATCTTAGGTAAGTGAGATGTAGATTCTGCTCGGAATTAGTTTAATGCCCAAGAGGATCAAGCAGATTTGAGTTGGACTTGTTCTTTGGGTTATTGCTAATTGCGTCTGGCCTGGAAAGTTCTTATGGTAATGAGTAAATTATTTCTTACTGTGAACTTTTTAAAATGTTATAGCCAATATGCAGCTAAAATAAATACCAGTAGTTTGTCTTGATGTTAAGATTTTCTGGGAAACGTCTCAGCAACAAAAGAAACCATCCAGATGACCTGACTGAACATTGCTGGATTTCTTCCTGGACTAATGAGCATGAACTTTGGTATTTTCTGGGAAACTTGTAGCAAAACTGTGTTCTAAAAGTCAAATGCTCGTAAATCTGTGAGACATCTTTGTAAATTCACGATGCTGGTTAATAAAAGTTCTTTCTTTTCCAGGACCTTGACATAGGTGCTCGCCATATAAAGCTGTACCTGAACAGCACACTTGTGTTTGAAGGTGAGCTGGAGAAGGGCTGCGGCAACCAGGTTTTTGACTACAGCACCACAATCAATCTGAAAGATTTTCAGGCGTCAGACACTTTCTTCTCCAGCCCTGTGTCTTTGGGACACAACCTGCAGGGTCCGTGGCACTATGAGGACAGGAAGAGTGCTGAGGGCAGCAGCTCTCAACGGCACCAAAGTTCAGTAGCTTTAGCAGATCCAGCAGGCCAGACTATGATAGACATGCAGGAGAAAGCGCATACACCACTACCACCCATCACTAACTTTCGTCGCTCTGCCTCACAAAAAAGCTCTTTTGACCTGTCTGCCACAGATGAACCACTCTCCCCCAGGCAGCAGGTGGAGCAGACAGTTACCACCCAGCCTTCCTCCTCTCGAGTTGCACCCCAGTGGCTGCAGCCTCTGAACAGAGCAGCTCCAGAGGGCTGTGAGGCCATCAGAGAGAAACCTCGGTGGCTGGTACCTCAGCACTCTTTAGAAACTAACCCACATTCTGCCTCGTCCTCCTCCATGCTCCCAGAGCTGCCCTGTAACCCAGGCCGGGTGTGCAGGGGGATTGATAGGTCAATGAATGGAGGTCAATGGAAGGATGACTCTTTGGACCTGAAATGCGACCTGCTTGAAGAACTGGGAGAGCAGAAGCCAGACCGGCCCATCAGTGGGCGCAGGAGCTCATTCAGAAACCCCACAGTCGCTGTCAGGCAGAGCGAGGAGCAACAGCACAGAGCGACAGCTGTGACAAGCACAGGTAGGCTGTGTTAACACCTCACACTCTAACAGGCTGTTTATCTATTTCTTTTTATGTAAGTGTAACCTGTCAGGCTGCTCAGAGGTTACTACACTTCTAAACTTATTTTTCTTATTTATTGAAATTTTGTTTTAATAGATTTTGTACTTTTTAAAATAATTAAATACTTTGCCAATTCTTTAATAGGATTATTTTCAACCATAAAGCCATTTGTTTAAGGCTTGGTTCTGTTAGAGCTCAGAACATCAATCACAAGTTTAATCAATATGTTTCATTTCCCAAGCCATGCAAAATGTTTTAAAATATATTTTTAAGGTAACCCTTTGTAAGGTTGAGACAGCCACTTTTCGTTGTGTGTTAGATGGTTATTAATAAATGTAAAGTTTATTCTCAGAAGGATTGGTAATTGTTTTGTTTTCTGCATTTTCCAGAAGAGCCCATGTGTTTGGTGAACATGAACAGGAGGCAGAGCAGCTCTCAGGGCCAGCTGCTCAGCCAGCAGGACGACACTCTCAGGGAGTCTTGGGACTCACTCACAAAGTTCAACCAATGCCAGCGTGGACGGATCTCCAACATGGGCTTCGAGGGGGACATTTTTGACGAGTTTCTTCAGCGGCAGACACGTGGTCCTCCTGCGCTCCCATTAAATCCCACTGCAGCACCCAGTAGCCCACTGTCCTCCCTAAACACTCAGGGGCTTCTGAACGAAGGCCCTGATGACGATCCATTCATGGAGCGGGAGGATGAGTTTGAAATCCCGGTGCTGCCACAAGGCCAAAAGCTAGTAATAAGCATTTTATCCACATGGGGTGATCGTCATTACGTAGGTCTCAACGGCCTCGAGGTGTTCAGCTCCAGTGGAGAGCCTCTTAGGCCTTGTCACATTCGTGCCAACCCTCCAGATATCAACATTCTCCCAGCATACGGTAAAGATCCACGTGTGGTCACCAACCTAACTGATGGTGTCAATCGCACTCAGGACGATATGCATCTTTGGCTGGCACCTTTTACACCTGGTCGTAGCCATACCATCTTTCTGGATTTTGGAGCTTCGTACCAAATTGCCATGATTCGAATTTGGAACTACAACAAGTCACGCATCCACTCATTCCGCGGGGTGAAAGAGGTGGAGATGCTGCTGGATGGAAGGTGTATCTTCAGGGGAGAAATTGCCAAAGCCTCAGGAACACTTACTGATGGTATGTCACCAGAAAAATGTCACAACTTTATACTTTCCTCCTCCAATTACTTTTAAACTTACTTTCTGTTGGATAATTCAATTATTCTAGCATCAACTCATTAAAAAATTAAACCACGCAAGGAAACTAGAAAATCTTTATTAGCCCAGGTTTAATCTTGCAATTGGAGCAGAAGTTGAAAAACAAGCATCAAGATGTTGCATGTCGCTTCGTCTCACAATGTCTGCTCACAGGCAGTAAAGAAGTATCTTTTTATAATGGTTATCAGACAAGGGCATGGTCAAGACAACTTCTGCTTCACAGCACATCTCTTGAGTAATCAGCTCTCAGTTTTCAATTATCAGGCTCCTCTCTGAGTAGACCGAAAGACTCTTTTGTCTTCACATACATGGTCCTATATCAATTTGACATTAGTAAGTGAAAAACATCCATGACCTTTACATCCCCCATCACTTTCTCTCATTATTTTGTTAAATCACAGGACTGGACCAGTTTGGAGACACTATTCTTTTCACCACTGACGATGAAATTCTAGAGGCCATGTCTCGTTACGATGAAACCTTCCTCAATGAAGCTGAGAGTCCAGAGAGCTTGGTGTACGAGGAGGAGTTACAGAGACCATGCACCGCTGATGGAGAGGGAGAAGAAAGACCTTTTACACAGGCGGGTTTCAGAGAGGAAGACCTCACTGTGAGTATAGGCTTCATTGTCAAGGTTTGCACCGTTATTTTTCTAATCCAATGCTTTTAAATGTACATTGCAGTTCAACGGAGGTTGTGTTAAGTGGCCACAGTTAAAACACCTTCAGTCTACTTTTTAACAAACATATGATTTCAACACTAGTTCACAAAACATAAAAGCATAGAGGCGAGGACTGGTTTTGCTGTTTGACCCATTGGTTCAGCATTTCACACCAATCCAATAGTTGCCAATATGGTGCTGGTTTGTGAACTGTTAATTAACAACTAAAGTAGTGATTTATCCCAATGAGACTGATGAGTTTGTGTGTCTTTGTAGTTCCCGAGTGATTAGATGTAAAATGTGTATTTCTCAGACAGTAGCTCATGCATGTCATTTTCCTTCTACTGCTTGTGGTTGTTCTTGGTGCTTTTTTTGCCTTCTGTGTTTTGTTTGCATTTTATGAATGGGATTTTTAGTTTGGTGCAGTGGTAGTCTGTGCAGCCTTAAACTCTTAAGCTGAACACCATAAACTGTAGAGGAAGCTTAAGAACTTTTGCTGACTGGTACAGACACCAGAATTTTTACTACACAAGCATCACAGTGAAACGGTCGTATAAACTATATTGCCTTTAAGAAAAGTCTAATTTAGCATAAATGGAAATTGACCAAATTGTTAACAAGTCAGTGCTATTCAGCTAATCTCTTCCATCTATTTTTAGTTGAAACTTCAACTCAACCCCACTGTGAGTCAGCCTGAGGAGAACTTAGAACATGTTCCTGGGATGTTCACTGGAAAGTGTGAGTAGACTAATCATGTTCTGTTATCTAGTTCTTTTCCTGCCATGCATGTTGCATGATATTAATACAGTGATTGTCTCCTGTTGTCCCAGGCCTTAGACTGGAGCTGATGATGACGTGGGGTGATTCCCATTATTTGGGCCTGACAGGACTGGAGGTGGTGGGAAAAGATGGTGAACCCTTACCTTTAGATCTCAGTATGATTTCTGCCTCACCGAGGGACCTAAACGACCTGCCGGAGTACAAACATGACTTGCGCACACTTGATAAGTATGACCTATTCGATCCAAGTCCAAAGTTTGATCATCAGACCAGCCTGTCTTCATTGTGTGCATACATCCCACAGGCTCATCACTGGCCACAACATAACCACCGAGGACCATCACATGTGGCTGATTCCTTTCTCCTATGGAGAGCTCCACATCTTGAACATTACCTTCAGCAAGACTCAGACCATCGCTGGTCTCCGCATCTGGAACTACAACAAGTCACCTGAGGACTCATACAGAGGGGTGAGACTTGTGTCTGCTTGACTCAAACCATATTTGCTCCATATTTGTTTGGAGCAGTTGCAAAAAAATATGTTAGCCAGACTGTTCTATTTTGACACATAAATGTGAGCTAAATAGGATTTATACTTTAAATAAGTACAGCACGTTGTGTACAAACAAAAGAAGATTTACAAAAACATTATTTTGCTCTATATGTCTTATAAATGTGGACATTTCTTGCTTGTTTTAGGTGAAAGTCATCCATTTGTACTTAGATGATGTTGCCATTTCTCCAGCGGAGGGGTTCCTGATCCGGAAAGGTCCAGGACATTGTCACTTTGACTTTGCCCAAGAAATCCTCTTTGTTGACTTCCTTCAAAAACCCATCAATAACAAGAGGAATGAAGACTCCCTAAAGTACAAACCAGAATTTTAATTATTGCAAATTTAGGTCCAAATGTAAACATTGTATGTGCTATTGTTTAACTTTATAAATTTTAATTTAGAGATAGCTCTAAGAGACTGGAACAGGCCAGCATGGACTATGAAGCTCCCATCATGCCTTGTGGTTGTATCCTTTCACACAGTGAAGCAAGTTGACCTTTTTTTTGTCTTTTACTGTTTAAATAACAAAAAAGGACAGTGCAAAACTTTGCATAAACTGTATCTTCCAAAAAGCTTTTACTTCAGTAAAAATGTTTGTCCATCTTGAACTGTTCTGAAACCATCCATCACTAGATGAGCGTGTGAGATCTGGAGCCACTTACACTTTTCCAGTGCAGTTTTTGAAGACTTTTTCAGATCATGAAAAATCCTTTTTGCATCTATAACATTATGGAGACCAATATATTTGCTCACAGAATTTGCTGGTAGTTAGTTTTGTCCAGTTATTATGTTTTCATCATATGTTTTATGATGTGCTAAAGTAAAACTGAAGGTGTTGTTTGTGTGATAGAAAAACTCCTTGCAACTTCTTTGACCATCTCCTGACAGTCATCTTTCAGCTGCAGCTGTTGACAACCTGGGGAGACCCATACTACATTGGACTGAATGGTCTGGAGTTTTATGACCAGAACCACGAGAAGATCAATCTCACTGACAACAGTATCCTTTCCTATATATTCCAACAGGGACAATACACAAAACAATGCAGCCATTGTCCTGTAAATGGACCTTCTAGCCAACTGTTCACTGGAAGACTCCAGTCCATTTTTAAACTTTCATAGACTTTTTTTCTGACACGTAAATGATGGTACTGTCTGCATGCATTTGGCAGTGAACATCATCACAACTTTCATGTAAATCCCCCCAAAATCCCACATGAGTTGCAAAGGAGGTGCCGTGGATGCATCTCCGTCTACCTGGAGGAGGTGCTCGAGTGACTGACTGCCAAAATCCTGGAGCTGGCAGGAAACGCGGCTCATGACAACAAGAAGACCAGGATCAACCCTCGACACCTTCAGCTGGCTGTGGAGCTCAACAAGTTGCTGAGAGGAGTGACCATCGCTCGGGGAGGAATTCTGCCCAACATTCAGGTGGTCCTGCTGCCCAGGAGTACCAAGGGGCCTGCTGGGTCCAGATGGACGGATTTACATCTGCTGCCAGTTTCTTCAGATCCACTGTGGGGACGGACTGCTGCACGACAGACAGCTGCTGCAGATCCTTCCTGCCCACAGCCATCAGCATCTATAACAACTCCTAATGAGACCAGGATGATGAGATACAACATTTAATTTCCCTCTGGGATTAATAAAGTATTTTGAATGGAACTGAATGTAGTTCAATAATATACAAGCAGAAGAGCAATGGCCTTAAACTAGTGATAATTTGTTCAAAAGTGTTAAAATAGTAGTTTGATAAACAGAAGATCTCTTCAGTCTTTAACATGTGTCCATCAGACATTACAGCTTTTCCAGACAGTGTCAATGTACTGGACAATGTGAGTGGTGACGTAAGGACTCCAGATAAATTAATAGATGGAGTCAATCATTCCTTCGACGGCAGACACATGTGGTTAGCCCCAGTTCTACCTGGAACGGTGAGGAAGTGGGTCAGAATAAGCACAACACTGTTAGCTGACTCAGATCAACACTTGATAGCATGTCTCTTGGTTTCCTTGCAGGTGAATCGTGTTTATGTCATCTTTGATCAGCCGGCGACCGTGTCCATGATCAAACTCTGGAACTACTCAAAGACACCTCAAAGAGGGGTGAAAGAGTTTGGGGTAAGCCTTTCAGTCTGCTGTCGAGTAGCCATAACTCTGTTGTAATTTTTTTTTTAACATTTGGACATTTACCTCCATCGTGTCTGTGCAGCTGCTGGTGGACGACCTCCTGGTGTATAACGGCATCTTGGACATCGTTAGTCACACAGCAAGAGGCATTCTACCTACCTGTGACCCGGTGGTGCCTTACCACACCATCCTGTTCACAGATGATGTCTACATTGCACATCGTGAAAGGAACAATGTCATCAGGTACACTAACTTTAACTTGGACGTTTGTCCAAATAACCACAAAAATGCCTTTATATACAAACCGGATTCCAAAAAAGTTGGGACACTAAACAAATTGTGAATAAAAACTAAATGCAATGATGTGGAGGTGCCAACATCTAATATTTTATTCAGAATAGAACACAAATCACAGATCAAAGGTTTAAACTGAGAGAATGTTTCATTTTAAGGTAAAAATATGTTGTTTCCAAATTTCATGGCGTCAACAAATCCCAAAAAAGTTGGG